CTCCTGAGTAACAGCTGGTAGTTTTGCACTGCTGATCCTGAGGTTAGCAGCCCGACTCGTAACCACTATGCTACCAGAGCTCCTTGATCTGACTCATAGTGACTTGTATAGGACTTTCAAGGAGCAGTTGGTATGGTTAGCAGTCCAGTGCTTGTCCTACAATACCATACCACGAACCCGTATGGAGCAAAGGTTAAATAGCTGGGTTTCTAATCAAAAGGTTAGAAGTTTCAACTCAGCAGCCACTCTGGGAGAAAGATGAGGCAATGTGTTTGCATAAATATTACAGCCTTGGAAGCCCTACAGGGCACTTCTCCTCTGTCCTGTAAGAGTCGATGGAAGATCAGTGGATTAGGGGTTGGGTTGGGAGCTGGTTAGAAAGGTCTGGGCAGGCTTCCAGGATACAGCTGGAATTTGACAGAAAAGTAAGAAGAAAAAGAAGAGGTCCCAAGCAGAGGAAACAGCCAGAGAAAAAAAATTCCTCAACCTTTCTCGGTGTTGAAACTCATATACATTATTTCTCCTGCTATTAACCCTCTTCTACTCTTATCCTCACCCATTTCTCTTTCCTAACTCCTGCTCATTCTTTTTGTCACCATTTAGTTATCACTTCCTGTGGAAAATCTTCCCTGAGTAGCCAGAGAGCCTGGTTTAGATGCTTTTCAGTGCTTATCACTATAATAGTTGTTTCTGCCTCTATCTTCCTTGTTAGGTCGCAAGTTCTTTGAGTCAGAGACTAAGCTTTATTCAGGATATCCCCAGTGACTACCACAATGCATTGAGTTATTACTCAATGAATATTCAAAGAAGAGTTGAAAAGAGAGAGGGATGGAGGAAGGATAGGCTGTATAAGTCAGTTCAGGGTAGTAGTAATAATGATTGTTGTTGTTAAGTGCCATTGAGTCAGTGCCAACTCATAGAGCTCCTGTATAGGGTTTGTGATTTTGAACTGCCAACCTTTTAGTTCAAACCAACCTTGCTATCCAGTGTTTATCCTACAGCAATGCACCAGGACTCCAGTAATAATGATTGTTGTTGTTGTTAAATGATGTCAACTCAGGTTTGGCTCATAGCCACCCTGCATAGGGCTTGCAATGAGTGGCTGGTGAGTTTGAACCACTGACCGAAAGTTCAAATCAACCTTGAAGTCCAGCACATTAAACCACTGTGCCACACCAGGGCTCCAGTAATAATAATAGCTAACACATATATGTCACTTACTATATGAGGGTAAAAAGTATTGCTATAAAACCCTAGAAACCTATATGAAACAAAAAATATCAAAATGTGATGCAATTGTTCCTAGACATATCCTCCATATGGGTGTATACACTTCTGAAGTCAGTGTTTTTATCTCTTGAATTCTCCTCCAAAGAATTCTATGCGTTTTGATTTATACTATGTCAAAACAGCAGTCTTGGCATCCTTGTTGTTGTTGTTATGTGCCATCAAGCCAGTTTTGAAATCTTTATGGGAGCAAAAAGTCTCATCTTGCTGTAGCAGAGCACTGGTGGGCTCAAGCCGCTGATCTTGTAATTCGAAGTCCAGTGCTTATACTGCAGCCACCGTACTCCCTTTTAAGGCCATCCTGTGGTTATTGTTGTTAGGTGCCATTGAGTTGGTTCCAACTCATGGCGACCCGACATAGGGTCTCCCAGGAACAGCTGGTAGGTTTGCACTATCAGCCTTGCAGTTAGCAGTCCAGTGCTTATCCTACGGTGCCACACCAGGTCTCTTTTGGCATCCTTTGTTGTTGTTATTAAGTGCTGTCAAGTCGGTTTCGACCCATAGCGACCCTGTAGAGAGTTTCCAAGGCTATAAATCTTTACGGGAGCAGAAAGTCTCATCTTTCTCCCTCAGAGCAGCTGGTAGTTTCGAACTGCTGACCCTGAGGTTCGCAGCCCGATTCGTAACCACTATGCTACCAGAGCTCCTTAAGGGACTCAAATTGTGCTCTTTTTCAATGTTCTTTGAGTTTGGGGAATAAAAAGAAGTCTGAAAGAACAAGATCAGGGTTTTTAGATAGATGGGGTAAGGTTTCCTCCCCAAATTCTCAAATGACAGCCCTTGCTACCCTGGAAGAGTGACCAGGTACACTGGTTCCTTGGTGCAATTTTCCTGACTTTTTCTCACCAAAATAGTTTTCAATTTTCTTATAACTTCTTCCTAATAAGCCCCTGTGGTCATCCTGTGTCCTTTGAGAAAATCTATTTAGGTTACCTCTTTGAGATCCAAAACAATAGTCACTATAACCTTCTGAGTGGACCATTCTGCCTTCAGTTCAACTGGCCCAGCAGACCACTATGAAGCCATTGTTTTGATTGGGTCTTTGTTTTGCAGGCACCCTAAGGAATTCTGGTGTGGCACTGTGGGTTAATGCACTGGACTCCAAGGTTGGTTTGAACCAAAAGGGCAGCAATTCAAGCTCACCAACCACTCCTTAGAAACCCTATACAGGGTAGTTATGAATTGGAACCGGCTCGATGGTACTTAACAACATACAACAAGGAGACTAAGAGAAGCGTATTACTGAGAGAACTTGTCTGCAGAAGCCACTGATACTGTGTAAACATTTTGTTTGGAAAAGACCAATACATGTATGCATACTATTCTAAGAACTTTAATATTTTATTTAATAATTTTTTATCTCAGCAAGCCGATGAGGTGAATATTATCATTTTTTCTTTTACTGAATGTCTTGAAAACTTCAATTTCCTTGTCTGCAATAGTGAGATAATAATACATACTTCATAAAATGTGTAAGAATTATAGTAAATTAGCATAGTGTCTCTGCTGGAACTATCATCTGTATTAAAACTTTACCAGGGCAAATGTCAGGGACTAAAGTCCTGGTTCAGAAGACTCCAAGCTTGTAGGGAAGAAGAATGGTCTTGATCCTGAAGACACTCAGTAGAGCAGGGGAAAAAAAGAAAAAAAGAAAATAAAATATATATATATATATATACATGTTGTTGTTATGTGCTGTGGAGTTGGTTCTAACTCATAGCGACCTTGTACAGAGTTTCCGAGGCTGTAAATCTTTATGGGAGCAGAAAGCCTCATCTTTCTCCCATGGAACAGCTGGTAGTTTCTAACTGATGACCCTGAAGTTAGCAGCCCGATCCGTAACCACTATGGAGCTCTCGTAGCATAATGGTGTGGAGTCCTAGTGTAGTGCTTTGGGTGTCAGACTGCAAAGTCATTTGAACTGCAAGGTCAGTGGTTCAAGCTCACCAGCTACTCCATGGAAGCCCTATATAGGGTTGTTATGGCTTGGAATCAACTCTATGGCACTTAACAACAACTATCTATATATAGGCAGACTCTTACTGTTGGTAAAATCCCTGTTGAGAGCAGGAACCAATCCTGCCCTGCCTGCTACTTGCCCATCCCTAGCAACTTGCAGAGGAGAGGCCCACACAGGAAAGCATGGAGCAAGATTTGTTTGCTATGGACACCTGACTCTCTTAATTTTAGACATATCCTACAGTAGCTGTGTGTAGAATACTTACACACAAAGATAAGAGAGAAAGAAGATTCTTAGAATAATTGGATAACTGAGAAAGATATCATGAAAAACAATGGCGTTTGGAGTCTTTCAGAAAGTGGTATCATTCTAGCACTGTAATAATACTTGCATAGCCTTGGAAACTCTGTACAGGGTCGCTATAAGTCGGAACCGACTCCACGGCACTTAACAACAACCTTGAACAGGTTACTTATACTTTCTTTTTGTCACCTCCAATATAGATATAATAAAACTTGTGATTCAATAAATTTACTTTCATCTCCCATTGACTCATTTTCATAATCATTCTGAGAATCTGTTTCTTCATTTGAGAAATGGGAGTAAAACTTATACCCACATCAGGGAAGTGAAATTTAAATGTTAATTATACTCTAAAACATTACATAAATATTAAGGGTTTTTAATTAGTCATAATGCCCCTTAGAAGCCAGGGTGGTGAGACTTTGTATCTCATATTTTTGGCATGTTGTTAGGAGGGACCAGTCCTTGGAGATTTTCCCATCATGCTTGGTAAAATGGAGGGTCAGAGAAAAAGAAGAAGACCCCCAATGAGATGGATAGACATAATGGCAGCAGCAATGGACTCAAGCATAGCAACGATTATGAGGTTGGCGCAGGACCAGGGAGCGATTTGTTCTGTTGTGCACAAGGTTGCAATGAATCAATACGACTTGATGGTGCCTAACAACAACAAAAACAGCAGTCATAAGATAGTTGTGAGGGCTACTTATACCAGTTCCTGTGATAAGTATGGAGAAACAACGGAAGGCTGACTGAGGTGTGGCCCTACCCTCAGGAGAGCGATGCAGGCAAGGAGAGGAATCCAGGCTTCTGTCTGCTCCACAAAGAAGAGGCAGCAAGGCTAGAGGGAAAGGCATCTGTGGGCTGCAGAGGCAGCCAAGTTCCTGGCCCCAGGCACTCCCTGGAGGATATCTGATGCCGTCTCCACAACCATCAGCTGGAGCTTGTCCAGACTACCTTGCCCCAAGGCCCTAGGGACAGGGCTACAGGATGGATTTCTAAATCTTCAAAATAAACAGACACAGGGAATTTCAAATCAAACACAAATGATTTGAGGGAAGTAGCTTCATTGACTGACGGAGGAAGATGTGTAGGATGAGAAGAGGAAAATCGCTAACCATAGATTTCTGATAGTCAATTAAAAGTGAATTGAAAAAGGAAAAAAAAAAAAAAGTGAATTGAACCACCCAGTTATCCTGGTTTTTAAGCTGAATCAGACAGGCATGCACTTTCAAGCTTCTTTTGTCTTAGTTTCCCTCTTCCTTCTGCTGAGAGGAGAGAAAATGAGTAAGGCAGGGGAAGGCTTCTTACCTAACCATGAGTTAGGAAGAAGCTCAGCCACAGGACAGGCAAGTATGACTTTGCCTAGAGAAAGAAGACTTGTAGAGGCAGATCCCAGGTAGATCCACCCCGGATTTTGCAAAAAAAAGCACCTCCTTCATCGCAAATTCTAAGACTTCCAAGCTCAAGAAGGAATCTGTTTTCTCACTGACACCCTGGCATAATGTACGCAGCAGGGCCAGAGTGAGTAAATCAACGCCTTCGCTAAAACATGACTTACAGGGATGTTGTAGGTCCTGTCTGCAGCCTGAAGTTCATGACTCTTTTGGTTGCCCTAAATCCAGAACTCCTACTCCTGGGAGCCCGTGTGCAGCTTCAAGATAATGGGTATAATGGATTACTTGTGGCAATTAATCCTCAGGTATCCGAGGATCAGAACCTCATCCCAAACATTAAGGTGAGTGACTTAAATATATTAAAACAGTATCATTATCCCATTAGAACAGACCTCTGGTGGTTGTGTGCTGACCTATCGCCAACCTGTATTGGGCTCACCAGAGCAGAAAGCCTCATCTTTCTCCCACGGAGCAGCTGGTAGATTCAAACTACTGACCTTAGGGTTAGCACCCCAGCTCGTAAGCCACTATGCTACCAGAGCTCGTTATAGAAAAAACTTGTAGTCCTCTTTTAAAACTTACCTTGCCTGGTTTGCAGCTTAGCAGGAGAGAGAACAGCATTTGTTAAACATAGTGCCAAAAGTTGCAATTATGGCCAAGCAAATTTGTTACCTAGTTCCCAGTTGTCTCAGCTCATAGACAGTGATCTAGTCCTCTTCTTTTTGTTGGCTCTGGTAGCGAATGGGGCTGAGAACCGCAAGGTCAGCAGTTTGAAACTACTAGCTGTTCCGCGGGAGAAAGATGAGGCTTTCTGCTCCGGTAAAGATTTACAGCCTCGGAAACCCTGTACAGGGTTGCTATGAGTCAGAACCGACTCCATGGCACATAACAACAACAACCACCACTTTCTTTTTAAGCTATTTTGTTGTCTTTCATTGATGTTTTTGGAGTAGTAACTTAAAAACATATATAACAACCCAGTGTCAGTAACAACGCCAGATATTTGATTGGAATAAGTACAATGGTGGTAGTGGTGTTGATGTGCGGTGTAGTCGGTTCCGACTCATAATGACCATGTACAGAGTTTCCGAGGCTGTAAATCTTTACGGGAGCAGAAAGCCTCATCTTTCTCCAGCACAATAGTGCTTATTAAAATCCTGTAGTCTCCATCCTGAGGGGAAGAATTCCCAGAAAGGAAGGATGAGATTCTCTGTGGAGAGCCACAGAGCAAAATTATTTTCTTTTCTTTACCTGGATATTGTATAAAGTAATTGACTGCCTTTTAGCTTAACAGGGAGGATCACAGATCCATTAGTTAAGAGCGTCTTTGGTTTTGTTTCAGGAAAGCCAGTATCATCCTAAGGTGTGGTCTTGAATATGCCCACAAGGGTGATGTGAATTTAAAAGGCTTTCATTAAAATGGGGAAATCCTATAGACAAGCCCAGACATACAATTTAGTATTCTAAAATATCTTCTATATCAGCATTACAAGTTTATTTTGCTCCTAAATCTTCCCAAAGGCTAATGTATTCTCTAAAAGAAATGTTTCCTTCAAAATATTTCAATTTTTTAATTATAACTTATTCAGTTATAACCAGAAAGCCAAGCATGAATGAATGGCTTACGCTTACAAAATAAACTTTTCTTTTGTCTGGCAATAGGAAATGATAAGTGAAGCTTCTTTTTACCTATTCAATGCTACCAAGAAGAGACTGTTTTTCAGAAATGTGAAGATTTTAATACCTGCCACATGGAAAGCTAACAACTACAGCAAAGTAGAACAGGAATCGTATGAAAAGGTAAGATCCAGGGCTCTATGAAATGAGCTTAACTTGAATTCAGCATGTAAAAACAACTAAAATATATGGTGTTTGACTTTATAAGTGAGAACTTAAGGAAAAACAAATCAATATATAAGCACTGTCGCTGCTGCTGCATGCTGTCAAGTCAGTTCTGACACAACAGTGAACCTGTGTAGGGTGTCCGGGAGTCCTGACGTGGAGCTGTAAGGTAATGCGCTGGACTGCAAAATGGATTTGTACCTCAAGGTCTGCGGTTCAATATCACCAGCTGCTCCTTGGAAACACTACACAGGGTCGCTATGGCTTGGAACCAGCTCACTGGAACGTAACAGCAACAACAACATTGAGTTTCTGAGGCTATAAATCTTTAAGGAAGCAGAAAGCCTAACCTTCCTCAGGCAGTGTGGCTGCTGGATTCCAACTACTGAGTTTGTGGTTAACAACCCACTATGCTACCAGGGATCCTAAGTAATATTACTGGGCAGATTCTTATTCACAAAGTATATGGAAATACAATAAATGAGTATAAATTATGGAATAAAAAATAAGTAAAATTCTTTGGCCCTAGTAGCTTCTCAGATCTTATTACTTTGTAACTTATAGTTTCCTTCCTAAAATGTTTGATTAAGGGCCAAGCATTAATTTTATCCCACTAAGTATGAATTGTGGAGTCCTGGTGTGGCACTGTGGGCTAATGCGTCAGACTGCAAAGTCGTTTGAACTGCAAGGCTGGTGGTTCAAGCTCACCAGCTGCTCCTTGGAAACCCTGTGCAGTGTCGCTATGGGCCAAAATCGACTCACCAGCACTTAGCAACAACAACAAGAAGTATGAATTGTAAAGGTAAATAATTGCAGTTATGACTATCTTCATTTAACATCCAGCCAGGGGCAATAAACATGCATGTCCAGACAAACGTAATCTACCCACTTACGTAAAAATATGACTAGCTTCCCATGCCAAAGGATAAATTAACAGAATTTCACATTAGCCTAACTCCAGGATGCAGTTTTAAAGAGTTTAAGAAAAGAAGAAGAAAGACAAGAAGGGCAAACAGGATAAGCAAGATAAGGGATGGGTAATTTTCCTTTTCCAATCAAAATGAACTTAACCCAAAGTAGTTTGGTAAACCGCAGATCACCGTTAAACATCCATCATAATGTCTGACTTATACTGATAAACATTCTGTACATAAATGTTAAATAAAGTTTACAAATAGCGTAGTCAATTACTGTGAACTAAGAGTCAATTATAGCACCAAGAGTAGAGACATTGAGAATTTCGGGGCTTCAGCAATGGAGCAGCTTCAAGATCTATCTATAAAACTATAGCTGAAGCAAAGCAACAGAAAGCATATGGTTATGATTCTCCTTATTTTTTTCTGAAATTTTAAGTCATTGTTTTAAATATTAGCTCTCCTCTGAGATTATCACAGAAATTAAATGATACAGCAATCTAGATGCACATCTCCGTGCCTGAAGGAGTAAACCACCACCAGACACTGTTGAGTGGGCTCCAACTCATGATGACCCTGTATGAGTCAGAGCTGTGTGCCAGAGGATTTTCAATAGCTGATTTTTCAGAAGTAGATCTCCAGGACTTTCTTCCTAGGCACCTCTGTGTAGACTCCAAGCTTTCACACTTACCACTAAGGGACTTGGAAGGAGTCAGAGAGATACCTAAAAATACCTATTAGGACAAGACTAAAACATTTGTTAATGCTTGGTGGTAAAGGTAGAGCATATAGGGAAAGCAGGATAGGCTGGGTAGAGTTTTAATGTTTAGTTTCAACTGTGTGTCAGGTACTTTATAGTTATTAAGACATTTAATTCTCACACACTATAAAAATTCATTCACTAAATATCCTGTACTAGCTTATAACATTTCCATACCAAAGTCATGGGGAAATTAACATTATTTTGGTTTTTTCATTTATTTTTACTATATTCTGCATATAGCACTTAAATTGCCAATTATAGTACAATCTTTATCTATTGTAAAAAATTTTAAATGTACTTATGTACTGGTTTTCCCTTGTAGCATGTTATTTGTGTGTGTGTGTGTGTGTGTGTTTATACTTTATTAATTTTTTTTTTATGTCACTCTTGTTCCTTGGAAACATCTGTAGTATTATTAATCTTCTGACATTTTCTTGTATTTTAAGGATAAGAGCCTCTAGTACATTAAATGCCCAAAAAAATCCATTATCAGTGATTGAAAGTTTATATGTAACCAAGAAACCATAATCATCTCTCGAAAGAGAGTAGTAATGTCAGTGAAGTGTTCTTTGTGTCTGTATTGATGTGGAATCCTGGTGTAGCATTGCAGAATGATTCGTTCAATTGCAAAGTCGGTTTGAACCACAAGG